CAGTTTAGATAGATACTCCATTATTGTTACGCCCCGCATCGCTTATAACTTTGCCCCGTACCTTAATATACATTATCTAAATGTGTGATATAACGCACATTTCTTGTCAAAAGAACATTCTTTTTATCAAGAAGGTACCCTATGTGAACTATTTGGTGTATCTTAAGTTATGTAAAGGGCATTTTAAAGAAGTAGTGCTAATAGAGTAATGAATTCATTTTAAATCACGCTTAGATATGTTTCGTATGAAAGCGATGCGACGGATCATTCGCATAATGTGTTATATCTGCATACAAGACAGTATAACAAAAATGTTCGCTTGTATCAGAAATAAACTGAGAATTACTAATAAAATAATCATGACAACCGTTATGGATACTACAGCCATATTTATACTGCTTATAAGTATGAAATCAAGAAATCTGGAAATTTTCAAGACATGAAGCGCATTTAAAGACAGGTATATTTTTCTCTTGTTTGACAAATTGACATAATTTTAACTATTTCCATACAGGATTGTAAACATTATTTCATAGAAGTATTTGGATGAATATAACTGTTAATTAACTGCTACGATTTTTCATTTAATAGATTTTTTATGAGAATTTAAAATGGTATGCTATCAAATGTGTTGCATTAGAATTATTGGAACAAAATAAAATTGTAAATTAAATAGATAGTTAAGTATATTTAATCTTCTTTTAATAAATGTAATTATAATAAAACCAAACCAAAGAGACTGATATTCTATTTAAGATGATACAAATTTTGACTCAATTTTAATTGTTTTATATTGTTGATAAATAGTTTTTTGTTTTGTTTTGTTTTTTCTTATTTTGTCCATAGATATAAAAAAACTAACTGAATTTTCTATTAATTTCAGTTCAGTGGAATGTCAAGCACCTGATAATGAAATTGGAAACTTGACAGGACTTCCATTATAAGTAATACAAAGCCCATCTCATTGCACTTCCAGACTATCTTTATGTCGGCGAGGATTTTAATTATATTTACATTTTTAGAGCTATTGATTTAAAGAACAAGAGTCGCCTAGTCTCTCATTGAACATATTATGGTATTTTAAGCTCGTTTAAGTAAGTTTCAGTATTATATATTATACAAATATGGACCTTTTAGCTGTTGGATATGATGTGATATGTACTGAAAAAAATAATATTGACCGGGACGATAACCGAGGTCAATATTAATTTTTCAGCACATATCACATCATATTCAACAACTAAAAATACATATCTGTTTTATTATATAATTTATAAATAGCTTAATATGGCTTCATCTGCCATTGCATACGACGGAAATCATTATTTTTCAGCTTGTCTACTTTTTCCATATTTTGGCCCTTTCCATTGGCATACTAATCCCTATTGTTCTTAAAAATGTAAATCGGTAGCTAATATAGACTAATTTGACTTTTATGTACACCCAACTCAACGTTTTTTTTCAGAATAATAACAACAAATTTGGCTTGACGTCACGTCAAAGTGGATTTACAGAAAATCTATTTTTAGAAGAAAAACCGGTGAATATACTCTGATATTGACCTGTTATTTTTTACAAAAAAGTTGCTTGTTATTCAGTCAGGGAAAGGCATTTCAAAGCTCATTTATGCCACTAATGTTTTACTTATACCATTTTATCCTATTACATGTATATTATGATACGGATGATACTGATGCCACTAATATTTTACTTATACCATTTTTTCCGATTACATTTATATAATGATACGGATGATACTTATGCCACTAATGAATTACTTATACCATTTTCCCGATTACATTTATATTATGATGCGGATTAATGTTTGGAGTATTAGGTTTATATTATCTACATAACATATTTCAAGAATTGTCCGAAAAGGCCAATAGTATTCAAGAAAGATTTCTTTACTTTGTAAAACACGATAAAACTTAAGCATCAAGTACAGGCTGCAATTACCTTTTTTACAGGTTACATTTCTTTTGTACATCATTAAATTTTAGAATAGTACTTATAACCATCTTATATTCATAATTAGATTCTTTCTGATCGAACAATGTTTAGAGAAAATCTGTAGAAAAACAACAAGTATATTGTTTTTTCTTGTAAAAAACGACTGAAATTTACTTATAAGATAGGACAGTGTGAACATACAACTGCTGAAACTAACTCTCTTACATCTTTTGCCTATTGTTCAGTAAGATTGTGTAAGTCTCGCGTGAAATTAGATGAGACGCTAACTGTTAATTTTCTCAGACAAAGTAAAACTTCCCCATATATATTGTATCATATATACACAATTCTCATTTTAGTATCATTAATGTTCAATATCTAAGATTGTTGCTGGTGTTACAATTTAGAATTGACAAAGCTAAACCAAGGCACCGTGCGGCTAGTAGAACGTAGTAATAACTCTCGGAAAAAGATGTTAATACACCATAATTCAGTGTTACGAGTGTGATTAATTAAGTGAGGTCGTATCTAATATCAGTAGATTTATAGCCGGGAAGTTATTAAGCTTAAACCTTGGAATGCATAAAATGCTTCCATAATTAACTGAAATTATGTTTTTGAATTGGGCAAAAAATACAATGTATCAGGAAATATCGTAGATTAGCATACGGTATTGATATATAGCTAAACTGTAAAAAAAGTATTTTCTATCATTTGTGTTGCTTATAAAACCGTTTTTTTGTCCATTTAAGATTTTCTTTTTCATTATACATATTCTAACAAATGCGATGTCATTCTGATAATAATTGTTCAAAATAATATCAATGAGATAAACTCTTACAATATTTAAAGTGGCATTATGCTCATGCAAGTTTATAAAGTGAATGAACAAGTAAAAATAAAAAAAATAGTTTACAGTTTGCCGTAAATCGGATATAAATCCTTTTGATTTGCACGAACGATAAATAACTCACTTGGCCAAAGGACATTTCTATAAATGACATCGGAATTTAAATTTAACGTTCCATTTATAAAATGAGTGGGGCTGCAGACTTTTAAGATTTACATTTTTTACTTTTTTCCATATCAACTGCAGGTCAATCTCAATTATTACACTCAATCTTTTAACATATATATACAAGTCAATTCAGCTAAACATGACAATGAAAAAATAGCATAATGACACTTTAACAGGTGAGCTTGTCAACTTAACGTGTCATGCTCTTGAAAAAACGTTGCTATCTTTTAATACTATATTGCATTGGCATGTACAATTTCAAAGTTTTCTAGCACTATCTAGCAAACAGACATATTTGACATATTTCCAGTAACAGCAATGCAAGTAGATTGAAAGTTAAAAGTTACTGAATGAAAAGCACGCCAAATAATAATACAACGTGACGTCATTTACGACGTCACGTCATTAAGTTGGTACCCAGTACTGTGCACGCTGATATTGCACTGAAACAACGTAAGGGGCCTAAAATCAAAAACAGTAAAATTATCAAAGTGGTAATTTCACTGTTTCAAACAGTGACATTACCAGTTTTAAATCACTGATATATTTCTGTAAACCACAGAAAAGCAGGTAATAAATTGTATTTACATGTTCAACCGTTTTTTCATACTATCTGGCAATATACCTGTGTTTTGAAACATGTTGCGAATCATACTTCTACATAAACATATGTATTAGATTTTACAACACACAGTTGAATTACACTTTTTTATAATAGTAATAATATTTACAATTATTTATGTTTAGAAATATTCTTTTTTATTTGAAATCATTTCAATTTACCATTATTATAGTTCCTAAATATACTGAATGCTTTTAGTATTTTCAAGAACGTTTCTTCGTTTATTTGCAATCAATCAAATTAACCATGATAGTTCATCTAATGTTCAAAACGTCTAGGTAACAGCTTTTGACAGCATATATACACAGATCTTAGGGCTGTCATTAATTTACTAGTAAAATACATTAAAAAGGGTTTGCTGAAGACCTTAGTCTACATCAGCTTACACATATTAATAATAAAAGGCTAAATCACATTCTATGACTCAAAATATCATCAAATGGATGTAATCAGAGGTGCTAGGATACACGGAATATTTATTTCATTATTAAGGTAGACCATTGGTTATGCATTACCTCTATTTTGAAGAGTATTCATATAGGCTAGAATCACTTGTCAATTACATTTACATTGAGGGACGTAGGTTCAAAACCTAGAAGGGGCAAATTTTTTTTTCTTTTAACATTATTTATGTATCTCTCAGATCCCTTATGGAAGAATTAGTGTTTGATTTTAATTATATTATTATTATAGGTAATTATTTGCTAAATTACGCCAAATTTAATAGGAAATATGATACCAGCTATTTCCAAAGTTTAATAAAATAAAAATGTTAGAATGAAAAAGGAAAGTGTGGTGTTGTCAACCTGATAGTGTTAACTGAAGCACTTACATTCTAAACCTCATGATGTACGGCATTAAACGTATTGTAAACGTTCTATCGTTTACATTTCTACATGTCGCAAATTTGAAGTTATACATTTCTGAATACTGTCGGTTATACATTTCTAAATACACTTTGAATAATAAGTTGCCTGTTACCAGCTTCCATTTTGTCAAATTGAGATAATCAAAACGCTAAATGCCAGTGCAGTTTGTAACTCCCCGTCAGGTTGGTCTGCTAGGCTGTATTCCCTGAAGCCAGATCCGAATTTGGTATTTTGTTTAGAACTACTAGAAAGGACTTTCACCGTGGGTCTGGTCAACTTTAATTTATTTCCTGAGGCTAGAACCTTGAATGGTTTTAATAATTATATGAATACATATTGAAGACAGTATTCAATATAATTCCAAATAAAAACATGGGTAACAACATATTATTACAGTACGTAGTTGATATGTTAAAGGACATAAGAACCTAATATATTTTTGGTATTTTAGATTGTTGAAAAATAAACTATTTTCATAGCAGGTCATTGGTTTAGAAAATAACAAAAAAAGTATAATTTTTATTTTCCTTCTTCCTGTTTTTTTTTCATTCTTGTTGTAAAGGTAAAGAAAAATAGGATAAACTGTAAGTAAATGTGTAAATTTTAATTCATATTTATTCTATTTCATTTGTACTAAAAAGTTTATAGTTTATATGTTTTAATGGGGCGTGTCTAGAATCATGTTCATATCAAGTTATATTTGATAGAGTAAAAACAAAAAAAAATGTAATAACAAAAACAAAATCTTTTTTATCAAACAATTATTTCAAATACTGTATGATATATCTACAAGTACATTAATTGTAATTTATATTGAAAACAAGGAATAAAAGCATTTTAAAATTAAAATTTCCTTCAAGCTAAAAATAACTTAATGATATACATAATCATTTTTGCAAAATGATAAAAATTTTATTACTGCTAAATGCAAAGTTTTATATTTAATTTATCTAGGACTTTATAAATGCATATATTGGTGTCAAACGTCTGATTCTGAACATTCAATCACCTTTTCTTTGTACATGTTAGTTGTTGACAAAAAAGGTTAACTGCTAATAAAATAAGATCGTGAAGAAATATTTGGCTGTTTCGTTGCCATGTATGATGCTGATTTCATCAGTTAAATCTGTTAGTAACTTAAATGGTTGCAAACTTTTATATTAATTATTGAAATAAAATAAATTTTATTTTTATCACATATCCGGGCACTTTTTGCAACTCCGTAAAAAGCAGCATAGCACGGTCGTGCCTATATATTGATGTGTCGCCATTTGCATTATACTCATGCAAACATAGCTTTTAGCGTTGCACTATAAGCACATAACATGAGTGCTTGACAATTGCTTTATTTTTACCGTTCACTTCTTATTTTCGATTTGTTATATATATAATATTATATTCATGTATCTTCATTACTCAATTTATTGCACTCGCCAGTGACCTATATAATTTCATTTAACTCGTTCAATAAATTTAGAACTAAACTGATATTGATTCCATATCTTCTATTTACAGGGAGTTCAGATAGAAATAGTTTAGAGTTCTTGAAATGAAACCGATTTTGCTTATACTAGGTAGGTCTAATTTCTAATTTTTTAAATGACTTATATTTTACAACGTACCTATAAAATTCACAAAAGAACTTTATTTTGAAAATGTGGTTCAGCTCACAAGGAAAAAAAAGACTTGCCAAAATAAACTAGGTTGCATTCAAATAATTCACTTTGTTGAACATATTATATCACCTTCAAAAGAACAAACAAAGGCAGGTTGTTTACACAAATGACTAGTTTGAATGATGGTTTGAAATGCTATTGTACTTAAACTTACAAAGAGGATTATTTTCAAATTATCTGAAATAACATCTTTAAGCATATTGTACAGCCTCGTTTATCTGTACAGGTATTTTATTGTTGTTTGGTGTATCTGCGATCAGAGGGACAGGTAGGTTAATCTTTACTATCTGATGTCGTAGGTCATTTATTTTTTCAATCACAAAAGTTGTGTGAACAATAGTTTTTAAAATACTCTAAGATGTCTAAAACTAAATTTTGAAAAATATCAATGAATATTTGATAATTTATTTTCTTACAAATAATATTATATATTTCTTATTATTCAAATGATCTTCAATAGTATTATCGTTATTTTTGCAAGGTCTATCAGACCATGATCAAAACATCGAGATTACTAGTCTTCAAAACAAGGTCGAAAAATAATGTAATGATCTCATATGTAAAATGTCCGTCTGTTACATCACCAATACATGTAATCAAATTGATAATTTTGTAAATAAATTATAAAATATTTTATTTCGATCAAAACCTTATTTGTTTTGGTTTTAGATTCCTTGGAATGTTACAGTTGTTCTGATGCTCAAAGCTTTAACGAATGTGAATCAGTGGAAACATGCGAGACAGGACAGGTAAGACTCAACCATTCAATCAATCCAGGACAAAAAATGTGAAAAGATAAAACAATTATTTTATATTTAATGCATTCAACTCTCATTTTACCATTTCCTTTTGGTGAAAAGTGGTACCCATTATATTTATTTTATCTTTTTAAAGGTTTGTTTCAAGAAAAGAGAATATGAAAACCAGGTTCAGTTTACAATGGGATGCATTGACAAAGAGGTAAATTAAAGATTGTTTTATTTGAGACATTTTTAGAAAAAATCTACTTCGTAAAATGTCTCAATGTCATAATAATACATTTATCAAATTGTGTTAAACGCGAGTCTTACACAAATATATTAATTTAAAATAAAAGTATTTGCTTTGTTAAATACGTTAAAGATACATCAACCTTCTTTATAATGATTACCAACTTTTAGCATTGTCCTTTTCCAGAGTTGTGGCAGGCACGATTCACGTCAAAATTCAACTGCAAAAATGAACGCTGATAAGACAAGTTATTGTTGCGAATGTTGCTCGAGGGATAAATGTAATGAACATCTCTGCTTTCATCTTCCACGTAAGGGGCTTTATTTTGCATACACATATCGTGGCCGTATGTTATTGACAAACTATTAAATCATGATCAATTGATAAGAAAAATATGGTTTAGGTGTGATAGATACATGAACAAAATAAGACAACATACTTCTTTACAAATATTTACCTGACAAAGACTGAATTTCTTATAAAATAAACAGTTTAGGGAGATATTTATAATTTTTATAAATATTTAAGTACTTCATCGTTAATGATAACGCCGTGATTCTTTTGATGCGCATAAATTAGATAAATATTCATTAATAAAAATACTCTTTCAAATTATTTGTCTCACACCATACATTGTTTTATGATGCACCATTAACATGAAATTATCTATCCATGCTTTTATTTATTGAAGAACATTTGTTTTACATGAACATGATGTGCATTTAAGCTGACATACGATCTCGACATTTCCTTTCTTCATTTTATTTGCAATGAAGCCATATTATTTTTGCTACTTACTTGTTTTAGACTCCCTTTGTCAAGATGACAAGTCGGTGGATTGTGCTAAATTGGACTCGATGTTTGATATTTGTGAGGTTTCGAGTCAAGCAAAGAAAATATGTCCAAGATATTGTAATCTATGCCATCTGGGTTTGTAAACTATATCAAAATCTTTAAAAGTACTTTTCTTAAAACGTTTATCTGATGAACGACCATAGAATTACTGTAATGTAATGACACATTTTTCTTTAGTGTATATAAAGTGTAACTTTCAGAGGTCAAATTAAAATAAAAATAAAAATTTCTAAAATGCGATCGATTTGGCACGATATTTCATACAGTTGATGGTAACTGGTCTCCCTGGTCACCATGGACATCATGTGACGTAACTTGTGGATCAGGATTATTGTTACGACATCGAACATGCACTAACCCAGCACCACAAAATGGAGGTCTTGATTGTCCGGGCAATGGAACTGAACAACAAACTTGTCATCTGAAGTTATGTCGAGGTAGTATGACACATGTGGCAATTAACAATTAATTAATCTCATTGTTCGCAACACATTTGCTTGAAATATTTCAAATAAAAGTTGATAAACTTCTATCTTCAATTAAAGATTCAGTATGCATTTCACACTGGTTAGCCTGAATGATGGTAAATTGAAATCTTAAAAAAATAATGGTACAACAATTGGAATATATTCAACGATATTATTGTAATGTTATAGTACATGGTGGCTGGGCTTTATGGGGTATTTGGGGAATATGTTCGGTAACATGTGGTGAAGGAATGAGAAAACGTACACGTTCATGTACCAATCCACGTCCAGAACGTTTCGGCGACCATTGTTTTGGTGATAGTACAGAAGATGAACTGTGTAACACTAGATCTTGTGCAGGTAAAATATATATGTAATACATTTGTATCCAACTGTAATCTATTCCCATGCGTATTTTCAACCTTATAAGGGCATGTTTCTTGTATGTAAATAATGCCTTTACTGGTATTATACAAATCTTGTTCAGCAAGAACTGATCAAAGCAAACAATATAGTAATTACTGGCTATATACTGGTTGCAACCTTATAATAATGTAAAAGGGAATTTTGATAAAATGATATGTTTAAGCACGATTGCAAAACAAGTTCTTGCAACTCAAATTAATAATATTTGAGACCGTTTCCTTCAAGTAACAAGTTCATGTGCCATATGCATAAGAAGATTAACTCATGATGACAGGGCTGATGGGCAGGTTTCTTAACCACTAGGCCGCCGCCCAACTTAAGAAAACATCTGAATGTGTGAAGTTTACTGGTTTTAGAATGACGTTTAAGCTTTATTTTATTAAGTCAAGACATAAGGCCTGTCAGCTTGTTTTAGTTTAAACATAACATTTCTATATTAAAACAAGTTCTTCATTTTGTTTATGTTTGTATATGCATGAACAGTTGATGGTGGCTGGAGTGAGTGGTCGCAATGGGGAATATGTTCAGCGACATGTGGCAACGTTGGGCTTCAAAATCGTATACGGTCGTGTACAAATCCAACTCCAAGAAATGCTGGTCAACATTGCATTGGACAAAACCTTGACGTTCAGCTGTGCCATGGATTATGTACCGGTAAACGCATTGATATTTAAAAAATACTGTCGAAAGATATAGAGGGTATTTGTTTATGTTGAGTGAATATGCAGTACAATTATCACACTGAGAAGTGAGAAGAAAACGTCTTATTTTCACGAATGAGTCACGCACGCGAAAATGTGCATATTTTGTTTCTTCGATGTTTGATGAATAAAATATTCACATAAAAAACAAATTATTTTTATGCCGAGTAAGTATAGATAAATCAGGACAATTTTCGACCGTTTTCATTGAAGTGCAAGGAGGAGGATGTCAGACGTTCAACGGCTTGCAAACGCTGTACAAACAAAATAATTTAAGTTTGTAGTTAATATTGCGGAGTAACTTTAGATTATATTGACTCGATATGAATTTTATCACACAGATAGAACCTAGTATCTCACTGATAAACATGAATATGATAGTAATTATTGTTGCTATAACTGCATGTATGTAAAAGTTTATCATATTTTTTTACCGTATTGTGTATGTTTGTTTTTTTGTTTTTTTTTGTTGTTGTTTTTTTTATTTTGTGTTTTTTTAGGAAGTCGCATAACCTTGATATTAAATTTTTGTTCAGCTTACTTCTTTCATGTGTCCAAAATACCTGATTTTATATGACTTTATATTAATCTTGTGGAATTTGTTTTAGCAACTTGATTTTACTGACGTCATATAAACAGTTACCTAGATGTTACCCTCCCAGATAGTATTGCATTCTTAACCCTATGAGAAATGTTGACGTCAGCAATATCGACCTGTCTATGGACTTAAAACATTTTCACGAACAAATAAATCAAGCGTGGTGATTTAAATTGTACTATATTTGTAAAGTGTATTTCAAAAGAAGAAAACCAAACCAATTATGTCTTTTGACACCTATTTCTAGTGGCTGTTTCCAATCACATATTACTGACAGAAGTCTTTTTTCACAGTATATTAAGCTAACACAGGGTTGTATCTGTTTGACATATTCAAACATGCTGCATTGAGTTTTAATATTAAAGAATGTTGACGGAAATCTTAAGGAGTAACTTTGTCCTACAATGAGGCCAATACAAACAGGATTAGTTTAATTTCATTTCTCATTCGTGCTTTAATACCGATTGTATCAAGACAATAACCTTCTTTGTCCAAGTGTGCTTCTTATCTGAAGTGGCGTTCTAAATGATCTATTTGTTTGTCTACAAGTGTGTAAGACCGCCTCTTTCACTAGTAAATTTGCATCCCTCACCATTAAATCTACTTCGCTTTAGAATTGAACTAAACAATATAATAGGTTTAATGATTCCTTCTTTTTATCCGCTTCTGTAAAGTTCACCACTTAGTACTTTTGATTCCGATCGGCTGGAATATATTTGAGCTGCGTTCTGTGATAAAATATGATAAACAAGATCAACAAAGAAAGGCGGCGTTCAATGAACACAACTCTCACATGACCCAGCAACAAGTACTAGTGGCTAGGAGAAACAAAAACAGAACAGGGCACAAGGCAGAGCACGGACAGGCTAATAACTAAAATGATAGATTATTTGTAACTGATTGAAAAACAGGCACACAAAGCCAAAGGGCACAGGGGAAGATGACAGGAAACCTGGGGAGGAGGGGTGGGGGTAAATTAAAGAAAATAAGACTTGGGGCAAAGGGGAAGATAATTACCGTCGACGAGAAACAACAAGAGACACAAGCAAAAAAGCTTACTTTTCTCATATCTATATTTTCTATCATACCTTGTTAAATATACAGGAAAGCACAAAAATAATAAAGGAAGGACAAAATGTTATATTTATTTGTGAACAATAGTCTAGATAACTGTTTTAATACTCAAAATGTAAATCTTGTTTAAATGTACAGCGTAATAAATATTAAACTTATTTATACTATCCTAAAGCTTGTTCAAGTCAAATTGGTGCAAATTTACTTTTCTTCATTCTTTGCGAGCAGCATAGTATGTTTTAAACAATTCTTTCAAAATATCCTTCAGCGTCTCACATAGTTTACGAATTGTTCTTTTATCTTATGAAACATGAATGCAATGCTCATTAATTATTTAATGTAGCACAAATAACCAATGAAATGTTTTACATTCTTATCTGATATACCTTCACAGATTGCTATGAATATAATAAGCTTATGTCCAAGAAAAAAAGTGGAGTATATAATGTACATCCCTTGAAAACAAGCCGTGCAATTCCGGTGTACTGTGACTTTGATACAGATTCGGGAGGATGGACGGTTAGTTTGATTATTTTAGCATTGTTTTTTATACACCGATAGTATTTTATAGAGATGCCTTCATTGTCCATTTTCTTTCATGTTATAACTAAAAGTAATTGTTGACAGAAGTGAAAAATTCTTAAACCCTTGGCTAAAGACATAAACATTTATGACGAAGAATTCCATACACAAAGATTTGACAGTTAATCTGTTCAGAAATGTAAAGACAATAATAATTACACTCAAGGGAAATATAACGTACATTTTTTGCTTATTATCGAACTTATTTAAAGCAACTAAATATGAAATTTGAAATTGCAAAAGTCGACAATATTCTTAACAACTTAAATGGCATTCAAATTGAAATGTACATAAAGTTATAAAGAAACGATCATTGCGTCTAACAAATATTAAAACTCTGCTCCTTGTCTATAAGTGTGTCACTCTTAAGGCGTACTTTGCTAGATTTAACATTTTCCATTACTGTGAAATTCTGAGAATATTTCTTTCAAATTTCAACATTCAGGTCTTTCAATTCCGATTCAACGGCAGTGTTGATTTCTACAGAAACTTTACTAAGTATGAGAGAGGATTTGGTTCATTAGACGGCGAATTTTGGTTAGGTAACTACTTCCCTTTTATTTGAAATCAGATTTTCTTCATAAGATTTGTACACATGATAAAACATACAAAGAAATTGCCATAAGTAAATTTCAGTTTTGAAATAAGTGAGAAGATACAAGTGTCATTAACCATGAACAATATTGAACAACATCGGTAAAATATAGCAAACGGAACTGCGGTGTTTAAAAACAACAATTTCATCACTTAGGTTTTTTTACTTTTTGTCCTTTATAATAATGTTTGTCAAGAGAATGTTTCAATAAATATCTAAGAAAGTTGATTAAGAGAAACTACATTTAAGAAACTTGTAATAGGAAGTGTAATATTTCCAATCTTAACTTGCTTCATTAAATACTTGAACATGTTTATTAAATGATTGCCCCAAATATAACATTTAACAGTTCAAGGATCATCTCAATACAATCTAATTAAATCATCTCTAAATAACGCTCCACTTTGAGATCTAACCGTGACCAAAACGAAATCATTTCTGGTGACCTTTCACACAGCCAATCATCGGCAAGCTTTCATAATGTTGAAAGCGATGTGGTTTATAGTTTTAACCCTCGGAAAACCAATACTGAGTATGTAATTTTCACGTTTACGAGAACAAACATGGCGTTGTCCATATAGTGGACAGATATACTGGCAAAACTAAATCTTGAACTTAAGTCAGATTGATCTCAATGAAACTTTAAATAGTTATTATGACAAATGAGATAATGTCATAGATACATAACTCTTTGTAAGTTTTTACATTACCTCCATACATGACAGCTATCAAATGCTTGCATTATGGATCTTGGGTCGTCTCTTAACTTAAGGTGGGGTACATATGAACATATAGTGGACAGATATACTGGCAAAACTAAATCTTGAACTTAAGTCAGATTGATCTCAATGAAACTTTAAATAGTTATTATGACAAATGAGATAATGTCATAGATACATAACTCTTTGTAAGTTTTTACATTACCTCCATACATGACAGCTATCAAATGCTTGCATTATGGATCTTGGGTCGTCTCTTAACTTAAGGTGGGGTACATATGAACATATATATATATAATTACACTTTCCTCACGCATATTTCATTTATTGACTGAGCTTGTTCATGTTTCGGAGGCCGACATTTTAGGTTGCTCTTTAACTTTTTTAATGACTAAGGTCACTGGCGTTTGAAAAATATAACTCTTAACTATTTTATTTATTGACTGGCGTTAATAAAAAAAGAAATGTGCAGGTTCGGAGAGCATCTGACTTTTTAAGAAATATTCTTGTTTTCGGTTAAATTTTAATGTTAAATAAACGGAATGACAACATTCTCTTTTGTGTCTTAGAAAAACACAGGTAGAGACATGTACAAGCTTTTCTTATATTATATCAAACTAAGTATTTTTTCTATGCAGGTCTTAAACATATATACGAAATGGTTTCCCGACACAAGACAGAGTTAAAATTGGATCTGACAGCGGCTAATGGAAGGGTTATGCACGGAACATTTAAGAATTTTCGCCTCAGTAATGGCCCGTATTATACTCTTCGTATGAACATTGGAGTCAGTACTCCAGGTAAGAAATAATGTGATTGTTCTTTTGAATGCCAATTTTTTTTTTTTTATTCAAAAAAAAAAAAAAAAAAAAAACAACAAGAAACAACAAAAACGTGCATAATTATTCCCGTAAGAAAACAATTAAAGGATAAAGGCTTAGTTATATTGCTCTTATTATGAAGGACAACGTGTATTTTACATATTTCTACCTTTTAATGAATGAAACTACAAAACTGAAAAGACTACATGCTAATAACTACTTCATCCAATGAATATTAACACAGACTTTACGAACATGTAAATTATCTTGAAATGTTGAAATTACATAGAGGATATTTGTTTGTTTCAGTGTAAGATCGAAAAATATTTCACCGAGTGAACACCAGATGCAATATTTTCCACGAGTGGCGTAGCCACGAGTGAAAATATAATAGCTGGGGTTCACGAGTGAAATATTATTTGATCTTACATGTAAAACAAACAAATTTTCTGTTTATTTCGTGATTTTTTAACGATTTTTACACCATTTTACTGATTTTTGCCGCGTAACGTCATGCTCTTATCTTCATGACGTCATCAAATAATGACATCACAATGTTGAAGCAAAATATAATTCCATGATTATTTTTAGATTTTAGATGTTTTTCAGCACAACGTTCGTAAATATTTACGAACTACAGTAATCACGTACATTTTTTATTATGATTGACTACATTTCCGCTGAAAAAAACATTCATTAATGATAAATATTTTCTTTTTACGCCAAATATAGTTCGGCTACTGTGAAATTATATTTGGTAATCATTACTGTGAAATTATCAGAATATAATTAAGTAATCTACTGCAAAACATGTAATAAAAAGACATAGAATGAATATTCAATGCATTTCTTCAAATGTCTTCCTTGAAACAGATGAAAGTGAAGGATTACCAAACCACGTTGGGCAAGCATTTACAACTTACGACCATGATCAGGATGCATATTCTAAAAACTGTGCTGTCTTAAGGGATGGTGGTTGGTGGTACAAAAATTGCGGCTATACCAATCTTAATGGGAACTATGCAAAACCAGGAATATTGTCAGTTGGCAAATTTGCCCATGATGGAATGTTTTATCACTCCTTCACCAACAACTTTGAATCATTAAAAACCTCTAAAATGATGTTCCGCCGAGTATAAACGTTTCTTTTTCATACGTTTGAAAATCTTATCGGTGGTAGGGTTATTGTGGTATATCGTTTTCCGTCTTTTACAAACAATGAATTTTGGTTAAATTGTGTTTTCATTTGGCATGTCAGTATGTTAAACGAAACAAAGGTCAAGTTCGATTTGGCCCGTTACTTATAGAGATCTGCGGTTTTTGGTCAATATTAAGTGAAAAAATTGTTCCTGTAACAAATCTTTTGAAGAATAATAGTGAGTGTGTTTACAGTTTTATTTTGTTATGAAAGTTTTTATAAGAACTCAACTCAAGTTTGATGCTGCAATTAAAACATTGCTGATAGATTTGTACCACTCTTTAGGCAAACTTTAAGTGAAGTAATAGATTTTCGAAAAGAAACTCTTCAAAGGATTTCAATTATTGCGTGTATTTGTAAGTATGTCATATCAAAATAAAGTTCAAGCTTTTTTATGTAAAATCCTGTCACACTCGGGTGGCTTTCTCACGGCATCCAAAGAAAATTCAAAACGCCGACGTAAGCGCAGTAAGATTGCAAACATCGCCGTAGCATCGCAGTGTTATTGCATAGAACGTCGACAGACAGCGCGCATTTTGAGCAAACTCAACACAAACGCCGTCACTCGGCGTTTTGACAAGAGCAAGAGACAAGAGTTTTGGGATCGCAGTATAGACGCCGTAGCAACTCAGTTACATCTCTTACAACGCAACAGGAGCGCCGTGAAAGCGCAAAAGGGTCGTCGAATGAACGCAATGGTTAGCCACAGCGCTTGTTAAGATATTGTGTGGCGTCTCTACCGCGCCTACACTAAGTGTGTACTGCGCTTGTTCTAAGCTTTATTTTTCTAAAGCGCTCTTACTGCGACTTTACGACACTGTCACGGCGACCATTGCGTTCTCAGGGCGATTCTACTGCGTTCACCGGAAATTGCAGAATACAGTTGAGTAGAATCACTACTTAAGACCATTCCGGAATAAAGGTCATCCCTGCATTAAGAACTTTTAAAAGAACATTTTTTTCTGTTCTTTATATTAATAGTAGCATGGTACATAATTAAGACCACCCAACATATCCACTTTAAAGACCACCAGTTTCACTTCCAATTAATTGTTTTATTTATTTAACCCCGCTATTGAGACCAGTGACATTCCAGTCAATACCTATTCAGATTACAAGTCTGTTGTTATTTAACTGCTTGAATTTTCTAAAGCTTGACACTTTGATGAAACAAGGTGTTACAACTGTTATGATTAAATAATTGTTTAAAGGTGAGAAAAAAAACTTCATAGTGGTTTAATGTTATTTTCTGCAAATCTATTTTGTAAAAAATTAATTTCTTAATTAAAGGTAAGTTATAATCAGTTTATAGTAATATGTGAAAGTTATAATACAATTGATTAAACATGTTAACACACAAAACTTCAAATAGAGTGGTCATAAAATATCTACGCCTTGATAATTATAGCCATAATTAGGACCATTCGCAATTAAGATCACTGTGACTTTAGTCCAGTCCTTTTGGTGGTCTTATTATAGGGTTTCCACAGTATATATAGACGTGTTTGCAAGTAAATTTCCTTTTTTAACATGTATGATGAACGACAGCAAGCTGGTATATTGCTTGCTTAAATGCAGTTGCAGCAGGTTCACGACTATTCAGAATTATCGCTGGTATATGAAGTACGATTTAAGCGCAGTGTGAACGCCGTGAAAGCGCAGCGGAAGCGCAAAGAACGCAGTAGAATCGCAGTAGAATCGCAGTCCGAACACAGATAATCGCCTATTAAAACGCCGTAGGAACGCGTTATAACGCTGTGGAAGCTCCGTAGAAACGCTATAATCGGCGTGAAGACACCGTAAAGTCTTCATTTCATCATAATATCTGATTTTTCTTGCTATCGTGCAGCGCTTTGTTAAAGTTAACAACGCCGTACAAACGCGGTAAAAGCGCAGACTAGTGTGACAGGGCCTTAATCAAATGATATAAATACGATTGTGCCCCTATTACTGATTTGAAGTTATAGGTTTCCACATAATAACCTTTTAATTATTTCAATGTTTTATTTAAATGATTGACATTTAAGTATGTTTTATTAAAACACAAGTCAAGTTCTTCTGTTGATGTAATCTATTCATTAATAATATAGTTATGTCCCTTGCCATAAATTATCGAGTGAAATTTTCAGTTTCTTTGAGACTCATATCATAGTCAGGGATTTACATTTGATAAATCTGAGGTTTCATACGTTTTGAACTTTACTTAATCATTTGTATCATAGTCACAAATGATTAATTCTCTGGAATCAACAGTACATATATTTTAAAGCCACAAGCCTCCAAATGGCAAAATGAAAAAGATCGGGGGAAACAAGTAAACTTCTTTTCCTTTGCATAATCTACTACGTTACTTACACAGTAGCCAAAATATATAAAAGGAGAACACTTGTGATGTGTCACAACAGTGATTCGGAAAAACCCGAGTTTAAAGTGTGCTCGGGGTCGTATAACTTTTTTTTGTCATTGTGTAGACCCTTATCATATTTCAAGCTAAAGTATGAATTGATAAGTTGGTCATTCAATATATATATATTCTTACATCGTTTATAGTGCCACAACTTACGTTAAATATCAAATCAAAAGCATTTATTCGTTTCCTTTTATGTTTGATACGATCCCGGATTCTATGCACTCAGGATCACAGGTTGGGATATTGCCAAGTACAATCACGTGGTACTAAGAAAAAAAGGGAAGTAAGATTGTATAATTAAAGAAAGTATTTACCATTTGGTGGAAAAGCTAAATGTTTGTTTTCAAATTAATATTTTTAAAATATGCACTTTTCAAAGTGTTATTTTGACTGCTTTCAACTATATAATGTTGTTGAAGATTGTTAATTAAATGGTCGCTTCTATGTTATCTTAAGGGGGCGTGCTGCTTTAACTGCCCACCAATTTTACTGATGTACAATAGTCCTTATTTCAAATTAATACGTTGAAAAACCTACACTAGCTTGAATGATGCTTAGAACTTTGATAATTGTTTACAACTGTGCGCTATTTGAATGCCACAAACGTTGAATCAGACAAAATAGAAGTTGATTATATTATCTTCAATTAATTTATTAATCAATCAATAAAATATTAATTTAATTTTATTGCAAGGAATCATTATTAATACTTAAATGAATGTTTCATTCATTTATTCATTCATTCGTTCATTCATTCATGTTTAATATATGCAGGTAATCTCTTTGACTGTATAATTATATAAATAACTGTATGATATAAAAAGATTCCGTTTGTATTTTTTTTGTCCGAAACAAATGTTGAATTTATTCAAATTTGCAATTGATACAATTTGTATGCGAGTGAGAAGAGAAGTTAATAACAAATATTTTCACGAATAAGGTTTGATATTTAATGCCATTACAAATGGTTGAAACTTTCGTATAAAGAAAGATAAATACACATATTCGACGAGATAAAGAAAAGAAATAACCTTGTAGTTTTATTAGGATATTTATTTGATTGATATGTAATTAACACAGTATAAAACAAATAAATTACATTTGGCTGTCGGGCTGATAGAGCACATTGTCAATCCGAAAAGGTAATTATCCCCTAGGTGCAGCAGAGGGGCAACATGCCAGTTCAATGGCCATACTTTATTTATTTCATTATACTTGAAGAGCAACAACTACAATAAAAGCATCATCAGAAATGTTGGCAAACGGCATTTCATTACTGAACAGCTGTAAACAAAATGGTGGCAAATTATCTTTTGCTACAATCATGGTCAACAAACGCTTGACGCTTAATATTGACTATAAAAATGGAAAAATTAGTCGAATTAACAAGTACAATATTATATACAGAAGTACGTAGGTGTTATCTCCCTTACACCCAAAAACATGTTGTAACACAGTCTAGTTAAACTGAAAATTTGCTGAATATGGAGTTAGGTAAGAGTTATGTGCCCAATGGTGACATAAGAAATATTCCCCGGGGAATATATCCTACAACGGTGATATTCAATCAGAACACATGATAGGCCTGTATCTGTATATCTATATTTATATTTTTTCAGAAAATACAAGATGCTTGTTTGAAAAAATGAAAAGAAATGAAATGAAAAAAATGAAGTGCAATAGTTTGTTATTAAAACAAAATGTATAAAAGTAGCTGTTTGCAAATATCGTTTGCACATCATAACAAACAAGTGACAGATAATTTCCTGTACCGATTATGCAGAGAAATGGTTGCTTGAATTTATTATCATATATTTTTGTGAAAAAAGGTTATAACTTGCTATATTTGTTTGCATACAATATGAACATTCATTAAGATTTGTTTTTGTCTTGGTAACACTTATACTGTTTATTTATTATTATGTATATTGTTTTATATGTACAATTTAAATGACGTCACGATGCAACTTTATAATATTATCGTTTACATTTAAACGGATTTTTACAATGTGTGTAAATTTGACATTACGCTTACATCTATTGCGGTTCTTTTCCAGTTGTTCAAGTAGTTGTTTGAGGTCAAATCTTTTGTTATTTAAGTGATATGTCAGAGGAGGGACCTATCAATTATGATGTTCTCGAATATACCTGTATCAACAATCAAATTATAGTCGTATTGTTGACTATCTATTCAGATTGTTCGGTAACACTAACCTTTCAATGAACACAAATACGCCAAAACCGTTTTAAATTTGCATTAATTAACAATAACAGAATTGAATTGATTGCTACACTTACTAAATGACTTTCTTTATATCTATTTACTTCAATATTTGTAAATATATGTAAACAGTTAGTCCGATTAAAAATGATATCATTTATCAATTTTATCGTAAATGACATGAAGCAATGTCAACCTATCTCAAAAGTAACCCATCCTCAGATACAGATGTATGATACCTACCCGTTCGATATTCCTTTCTTTCCTTTTATATGATTAATGTAAGTCAGTGTTTTCGCATAAAAATATGCATCTTTGATAGTATAAATTCCATAAAACCCGTTTATAAACATGATCATGACTGTATGGTTTCTAACTGTATACCATATCTGAATAAATTGTAGACCCCAAAGAAGAGGGTTATGGTTAACTAACTGACCACAATCAGAATAATTATCCTGATTGTTGCTGCTGTACAAATTCAAA